AATCTGTGAGGCATACAAAGAAATAAGAATGCATAGTCCATTCACAGGAGAAAAAGATAATAACAGAAATTGTTCCTGAGGAAATGCAGGCATTGGACTTAAATCGATGAAAGAGCTAAAAGCAACCATGGGCAAATAACTGAAGAAAATGGGAGAACAGTGTATCATCAAATACAGAATTATCAATAAAGAGGTAGAAATTATAAAAAGAAACAAGCAGAAATTCTGGCACTGAAAAGTATAACTGGCACAAAAAATTCATCAGGAGACATTCAATAGCAGAACAGAGAGAAAAAAAAATTGACCAGGCATGATGGCACATAATCCCAGGCTGAGGCATGGAGGGGGTGCTAAAGAGTGAGTTCAAAGCATGCTTGCTCTACATAGTGAGTTGTTGACCAAAACAATAATGAAGACAAAGAAAAAGATGAAGAAGAAAAAGAATGAGTGAATCTAAAGATAGGTCAAATAAAATTATTCAGTCTGAGAAGCAGAAAGAAAAAAAGAAGTAGAAAAGGAACAGAACCTAAGAAACCTGTGGGACACCATCAAGCATACCAATACATGCACCATGAGAGTCTTGGAGAGAAGAAAGAGAACAATTAAAGAAATATGGCCAAGAACTCCCCAAATTCTGATGAAAGACAAGAAGGTCAACAAACTCCAAGCAGGTTTCTAGCAGGAAACATAACAAATAATAAATGTGGTAAATGAATAAATGATCAAGTGGTGAAATTCTAAGGAGAAAAAAAGATCAAGTAGTAGGTACTGGAAGAGTCACAAGAGTAGGGCATACTGCAGTATTAATAGAGTGGTCTGGGCAGGATGCAATGAGAAGGCAATAAGACAGGAAGTCAGTGAGGAAGCAAACCAAGTGATTACCCTGAGAAAAAAATGTCCTAGATAGACAAAATAGCTCATGAAAGGTCCTACAGTACATGCATGGCAAGTTTAGGGAGCAGCAAGGAGTTTGAGTGTAGTGAAGAAGGGAAGAGCGGTTAAAGACAGTCAGATGGAAAAGAAAGTTCTATCATTTCGGGCTTTATAGGCCAGTACAGGAACTCTGGCTTTTACAATGAGTAGAAAGCACCATTAGGGGATTCTGAGCAACAGAATGACACTGAAAATGGCGGGGGGGTGTAGGTAAAAGGAAGACCTTTTGAAGGTTGAGAAGCTACCTCAGGAACTCAGTCAAAATATGTCGTTGACCTGGATAAAGACAGCATGGAAGTAAGGGAAAGAGTATGAATTTAGTATCTATTTTAAAAAGTCAACGGAATTTCCTGATGGGGGAAAGAGGGAAGAGAGAGGAAGGGGGGAGAGCAAGAGAAATCTCCAAAGGACATAACTGCTGCTAAACTGAGATAAAGAAATTATAAGAAGAGCAGACCTGCAGGCATTCAGTTTTGAACATTTTTAGACATCTATGGGAGATATTGATGAGGTAATTAAGCATAAGAGTCTGCAGTGTGAAGGAAGGGTCTGGGCTAGAAATACAAATTTGGGAGCTTCAGAATATTTATAGTATTTAAAACTGTAAAAGTACATATTGCCAAGTGTAGACAGAGAGAGGAAGAGATTAAAAAAAAGAAAAAATTCCAAAGGAGCTCCAATAGTAACAGGTTGAGATGAATTAGAGCAAGCAAAGACAACTAAGATGGAACAGCCAGTGATGTAAGAGGGAGAAGAAATGACCAGCTGGGTCAAATGCTTCTGTGAAGTAGACAGAGCAGGTTACATCATCTTCCTTTCTACACAATCAGAAATTAAAGCCTTGAGAAATTAAGAAAACTTGTCTGAGACTTCCTAACTCTTAGGTCTGTTGCTTGTCCCATTTCATGACCAGAATCACAGGCCACTGGGCTAGGAACAGAATTTTAAGAGTTTTCTTCAGTAAGTTGATGGAAGTTATAAGAGTGAATGAAGGGAGAAATCAAAGAGGAACGTGAAGTCAACAAGGACAGGAGTCTTGGGAGAATCTGCCTATTAAGGGAATGTAATAAGAGACAGAAAAGATTCTATAAGAAAGACAAAGAACCAGGATGGGGTCACTTTGAAGCCAAGAGAAGATCAAGTTTTGAGAAATGCTTAGTTAATAGTGCTGAATATTGTACATAATCTATGACTGGTGCTAATTAGTGAGTTTCTAAGAACTGTTTAGTAGAATGTTGGGAACAAAAATATGGTTATAAGAATTACAGACTATGTTGTGGTTAAGAAAAACATAGGCATTTCTTTAAAGATGTTTATAAGAGATGAAGGAAAGAGAATTAAAATGTAAGGAAATGTTTTCCTTTTCTTTACTGGAAACCTGAGCATACCTGCCAAAAAAAAGTTACAGCTGAGGAATGGAATACTTAAGGCATTGATTATATGTGAGAAAAAGAAAGTAACCTTATTCAGCAAAACTGCAAAGAGTTGGGATCAAGAAACTAAGTGGAAAACAGCTGTGGCAAAGAAGGATCACATAACCTGAAAGGATAGGATGGACGAACAAAAGATATTTTGAAGAGAAGTGAAAGGCGATGATGCTTGTTTTGGATTTGTCTGTGTGCTTCCTTAAAACAAGTAAAGACAGGTATCAGTGAAAGTGAGTGAAGGAGTTCAAGAACAGATTAAGCTTGGAGTAGCTATTCTTACTGTGTTGTTAGCTGGTTCAGTGATCTGGGTCAAAGAGAATGAATAAGAGAGAAATGAGTAAAAAGGAAGCTGAGAAATACTTGAGATGTGCTGTGGATCCTGTTGAAATAAGCTAGTCTTAGCTCTACCATGTCTGTATTATAATTGTCAATAAACTTGTTTGCATACCAATAAGATTATGAATTACACAAGAACAGAAAATGTTGACCTTATTCACCACTGTACCTCCATGTGCATAGAACAATCAGCAAATACTTCACAAATGAATGAATATGTGATGGACGTAACTCCACACTGCTAAAAAATCCCTCAGTGGTACTGCTTAATATATATTATGACTGAGAAGTTAAAAAATGTCCTTGGCTGATACTCAAGCTATTTTCCTATTTCCTAGACTACAAAAGATACCAAGATTGACCTCTTAGGTCAAAGATAGAATCTGTTCAATAAATTAAGATGGTTTCAGGGACAAAATTCATTATCTTACAAAAATGTACCAAGTAGGTGTTTCAGTTAGACCATTAAACTACATCAGTAAGAATTAATTTCTCTTGGGGCTGGGGATGCAGCTCAGTGGCACAGCACTTGCTCTGCACACATAAGGCTCTGAGGTCCTCAGTAATTTAAAAAGTTAATTTATCTTAAGTTTGTGGGAAATGAAATAGTCTATAAAAATGAAGCTACTAGACATCTGAAACCTCATTCTACCACTAAGAATTACGCTTTTTAAAAATTATTTTGGATGGAAATCTTTAAAAAGTGCATTTAGCATTTCTTGGCATCTAAAACAGAGCTGAATGAACATGATTTGGCCTTTTTAAATACACAGAACACTATCCTAACAATTATTATAGCTCTTAAACCTGCGGAGGGTAGAATTTTACGGGAGCTACAAATTTCTATTCGGAAAAAACCTAAATGTCTGTATGTTTAAATTCTTTTAAGGTGACCCTGTTTGCTATTATTAAAGCACTATCCACCTTTTAATTTGTTACTCTAATGTGAAGCAGGCAGAGAAACATGCTTGTTAAAATTGTTTTTAGTAAACTTACTACTGAATAATTACCTCCTATTTAGACTTACAACTGTGTACGAATGTTATTTTTATTAAAGAGGGAGGAGAGAGAAGTGAGTTGTGTGTGTGTGTGTATGACAGAAATAAAAGACTTGGAGTGAGAATGTACAGATTATCTTCTACAAGGAAGGAAGCAAGGAAAGAAAAAGATTAATCAAAGTACCAATTTTAACTACTATTTTAATAGAATGAAAGAGAATGAGTTGCTGGGTGCAGGTGGCTCATGCTTGTAATCCTAGCTACATGGGAGGCTGAGATCAGGAGGATCATGGTTTGAGGCCAGCCCAGGCAAACAGTTTGTAAGACCCTCATCTCCAAAATAACCAGAGCAAAATGAACTGGAAGTGTGACTCAAGTGGTAGAGCACTACTTTGCAAATGTAAAGCCTTAAGTTCAAACCCCAGTCTTGTATTTCCCCCCAAAAAAAGAGAACGAGTGAAGGTAAATGAAAGTTATTATAATAATTACTATCACCATTACAGTTGGCATTTTTATAATGTACTTGATGGATATTAAAAAATTATCTATGAACAGAAATCAATGAAGCATTATTTCAAACAAATCTTTTCATTGGATACAATGGGGCTGCTATTTTCAATATGACATTATTTCTTTTGCAAATCCCTACTAGTCTGCATAAGTAGAGATATCAAATCGTGATTCAGAAAAAAGAAACATTTAAAAATACTTATAGTATTCCTAAATAGAAATTCTGGCACAAGTCTACCTGACTGCTAAGTAATGTCTGTTTTCATCTAGAATTCTGAGTATTTTTCTAAAACATTGAATTCTAAGTTAAAAAAAAATACCAAATAAAATTTGAAGTTCTCAGTAGAACTGAAATGAAGTATATATTTTCCAATAACTTTCAACACAAGCTAAGGAATATAAAAAAATTCCAAACAACAACAACAACAAAAGGGCACAGATGCCATCAGTAATCTAGAAGTAACTGAATAACTAAAAACTATGAGTGATCTATGATGATCTTTTAAATGGAAATAGAGTTCCAATACAACGAGCCTTACACTTTAGAAAAAACATAAATAGCATAACTGTTAAGATTTATACATAACTTTCTGAAATAAGGTAAAAATGTACTTTCATTACATATTGTGTACTTTCCCCAACGTAAAATTGGTAGGGAAAAAAAAGTTGCTAAAGAACCAAATCTCAAACTTAGAAGCTGTTTAAAAATGAGCAGTGACAAAGTTTCTGTTAAAACCTATGTATACACATACAATTCAGATCTTACTGTGCTCTTCTATATAAGGTTGTGACCACAGCAAATTAATTTTGCTCCACAGCAAAAGCTGGATAAGAATCTTGTTCCACTGTTAGAAATTAGAACTGTGTCAGTCGTTATGAGTAAGGGGATAGAATCTTCACAACATAAAAATTCCAAAATCTCTAGATTTTGGAACTGCCAGACTAAATCTCAAAAGAAACTATCGTAAGCTAAAATAACAGAATTTATTATTGTCCCTTCAAATATTAAAGAGAGCTCTTAAGAATATAACTTGAATAATGGTCATGAACTGGTTTGACACACTTAATTGGTGGTTTATGCTATAAACCACCTGCTGCTATAGTCTAAAATGAATGTATCGAAGAGGAAATAACCTTGTTGGCATGTGTACAGCTATACGACACACGTTTGTTTCACTGCTTGCAAACGCCAGTGCTAGAGGCTCAGAATAAGTGAACAGGAGGAGGATTTCAGTCACAGCAGTAAGTGGGTCCACTGAACAGATATGAGGACAGCATGCTTGGGAAAGTCACAAACAAATGAGAGGTAAGCATTCAGCAGACAGATAGTTAATCTAAAGGGATTTTGTTTTTGTTTTTTTTAATATTCAAGAACTCTGCTTCTGTAATTTCTTATTTTAAAATTTACAAATGTTAAAGGGGAGATTTTTAACATGGGATTTGTAAATTTAGTGAAAACAATGGTTTAATCTTACTCTTAGCTTCTAGTTCCCAAGGGAACTGGGAATATTAAGGAGAAAAAAATGGTACTTAAAAAAAAAAAAAGTAAGAAATCCTTATAGAAACATACTAAGACAGATGAAACTACTAAAAACTATTATTTGGATCTAGTAATATTTTTTTTCTTTCCTTTCTCTCAAGCTAAAGAAATTTAGAATGCATTGTAAAAATGGAATTTAACTTAACACTAAGATAAACCTAATCCGACAAATGACTACATCTAAGGATTCCTAGCTGGTAAATAATGTATTTAAATCTCAGGAGGGCTTGGAGTTTTCCTAGGTGGGAGGCCAAGTATATAATGAAAGTTCTATTCAAAACTACTTAGTGCTTTGAGCTTTCTATTCTTTGGCACATTTTCTAAAATAAAGGTAAAACCACATTTAAGGATCAGGAAACACCTAGCATTTTATTATAATCACTGAAAAATTGATGTGTCTCCTCCTCTAGTTAATTTTGAGGTAAATCAGGTAAAATTTCATAACATAAAAATATTATATTCTCATAGGAATAGGCTGAATTATCACAAACATACATCAGACCTATAGAGAACGGTCACTAAGTTCAAGTGTTTTCATCACTTTTTTGAAGTAAATAATGCACTCTACATAACTGTATCTAGGGGGAACTCCTGGCATTCAAGTTCAAACTCAACTACAAGTACAGCATAAGAGAATCTAATAGTTTATTTTTTCCCACATACTGCTTTTCTTCACTAAGCTTTCTGAAATCTAAACCTCTAGAAAATACTAAAAACTTTGGAGGTCTTATCTACAAACACATAAAGATGTGCGTATACTCTCAGAGACTTTAATTTTTTTTTTTAAAGGAAGGAGTCAACTTTGGCTTTGGTGTTTGGCATGGCTACAATGCCTTAAAAAAGCAGATGATCAACTTAGCTTCTGACCATGCTGACCACTGTCTGGAATTGGATTGAATCACAGAAAAACAGCAAATGGCTCTCTCTTATAGAATGTCTGAACAAAGCACAATTCCTGAGCACATTTTCCAGAGTACATTTGATCACTTGAAGTCTTCTAACTGGTCTGGATTACAGACAGAATCAATACCAGAGGAAATGAAAGAGATTGATGAGGAACAGGGAAATAAACTGCACTGGGCAGCTCTTCTGATCCTCATGGTGATAATACCCACAATTGGTGGAAACATCCTCGTTATTCTGGCTGTGTCACTGGAGAAAAAGCTGCAGTACGCTACTAATTACTTTCTCATGTCCTTGGCGGTGGCTGATTTACTGGTTGGATTGTTTGTGATGCCGATTGCCCTCTTGACAATAATGTTTGGTAAGTATTTCCCTTTGTTCTTGCCATCAAGTCACTGAACTACGATATACTATTAGAGAAAACTGGCTAATCATTTGATCTTTATTTTCTTTGAAATAAAAGATGGACTTGGATTAAAGATACAGCAGATAATAGTCCCTCAATTATTTTTATATGGTTTTCTATGGCTGATAATCAATTTAAAAGACCAAAAAATAACTTCTTGGCATCAATTTTACTCCCTGCTCAGCCTCAGATCGCTTAAGAGATCTAATAAAATCATTTAAAAAGTTATTCAAGTTAGCAATACTCAGAAATTCTGTATACATTATCTAGAAATTGTAGTGAATAGAATGATACCTTAACTTTTCTATCATTCTTCCCTGTAAACAAAGTGATCAATAACTAGGACACTTTTGGAACAGGTATGTGCTGGGTTAATTAGTAATAATAAGGTCTTTAAATCACTAAATATCACTAAACTTCTGTTTAAATTTGGTATTATTCTAAAAATTCTTGTTACATTCTTTATAATTTTTATACTTTAAACTTCAACACAATTACTACATATGTGTCATGTTCAGAAAAAATGTTTAGTTGCTCAATGAACTGATCTGGTTCAGAGTCCCGAGAGATGATCCATCTGTCTGATTTTTATAATATCTGACCATTTGAGTTCTTGATAGACCTTGAATAATAAAAAAAAAATGTAGTTGGATACTGACATCTTTGTTATTACAGGAAAGATAATGCTATTAAAATAGGCATAAGTAACTTCTGATTTATGCATATTCTCTCTAGTTATAAAATTCATGTAAACAATTCTGTTAATGAATTATGAGGGTTCCTACCTCAAAGTCAGCATTAAAAGGATATTTAATCTAGTTAATGCTTGGTATAAATTGATATTCCATTCATAAGTCACTTAAGAAAAATCTGTAGCAGATATAGTTTCTAAGAATTACACTTCTATGTTGAGAATAAACACTTCAAGTTACAGAAGTAAAATTTATTAAGCTAACATGCACTAACTTGTTAAATTAGAAAAACTGCTATTCTAATTATTTTTATAAGTAACAATGAAAAGATACCTGAAATTAAGTATTTGTTCCCCTAAAAATAGTAGGATGGAGAGGGGTTTAAGTTTCCTATTATAAATCAATATTTACCCAGGCTTTAAGTAAATCAAGAAAATTCTGTGACAGGACAAAAAGTAATGAATAAGATCTACACTTTAAGCAGATTCTGTAATAATCAGTACTGTCTATCTACCACCTGTTCCTTTAAAAAATTTGTAATCTTTTGAGCCATGGAAAGTAACTAAGAAATTGTACTCCAACACAGAACCTATACAACCTTAATTCTAAAAAGTTTAAACGAAATAAAGTAAGCACAGGTTACATAGCAGCACTGGTGTACTGGGTAAAGACTGTAGAGGCCTAAGATTCAAGTGCTCATCTCCATACTCACAATAGTAGCTTAAAGTAAAAATGCATACTCTACAAACAGCATACAGAAAAATGTCAAAATGCTTAACTCACAGTACCTCAAAATCCAACTGATATGTTATGAATAAATAATTGAATGACATACAGACTTGGACTTTAAAATCCTTGAGTCCAATAATATCAAACACCTACTATATGCAAAGTACTGTGGTAAGCACTTAAATAATCAGCTAAACAGTTAAGAAATCTTAAAAGACAAATTGCAGTCTTACAAATTACCGTATTAAAGTAAGCTGACAAATAAAATTAAAAAAATATGACAAAGATAATTCCATGTTTTCTACAGGAAAACAGTAGGTATTCTAGTAGCTAAAAAGTTTACATTTATATTTAAAAATTTGTTACCTAAAATATTCTTATCTGGATGCTGGTGGCTCATACCTGTAATCCTAGCTAATCTTGAGGCACAGATCAGGAGGATGGTGGTTCAAAGTCAGCCCTGGGCAAATAGTTTGTGAAACCCTATCTCAAAATACCCAACCCAAAAAAGGGCTGGTGGAGTGGCTCAAGTGTGCCTGCCTAGCAAGTGCGAGGCTGTAAGTTCAAACTCCAGTTCTACCAAAAAATATATATGCATGTATTCTTAGCAGTAAGTTAGTAGAAAACCAAACATTTGAACAGAAAATATGTGGAATGTCTGTCTTAAATTATGCTATATATTTCAACATTATTTCAAATATTTGTTTTTTTAATTATAAAATAAAATCTTTATAGTCCCCAAAACTTTTTTGCTATCAGTAACTATCAGTGAGTGGGATTAGTAGGTTGTTTTTTTTTTTTTCAAATGGTATTGGGGTTTGAACTCAGGGCCTCACGCTTGCTAGACAGTCACTACTACTTGAGCCACTTCTACCAGCCTTTTTGTGTGTTTGTGTTGGATATTTTTGAGATAGGGTCTAGGTTTTTTTGTCTGGGCTGGTCTTGAATCTCAATTCTCCTGATCTCTACCTACTGAGGACCCAGGATTACAAACATGACCACCAGCACCCGGCTAGAGTTTTTTTTTTTTAATGAACTAACCTTATTTTAACCCCTACTTAAAACATTCTGGTGGCTCACATCTATAATCCTAGCTAGTTGGGAGACTGAGACCTGAGGCATTGCAGTTAGAGACCAGACCAGAGAAATAATTCCAAAGATCCCATCCCCCCAAAAATAAACAGAGCAGGGAGTGTGGATAAACTGGTAAAGTGCCTGCTTTGCAAGCATGAAGCCCTGAGTTCAAACCCAGACCTAACACACATACACACACACACACACACACACACACACAGAATTCAAGCTGGGTGCAGTGGCTCATGTCTGTAATTCTAGCTATTTTGGAGGCTAAGATCAGGAGAATCTTGATTCAAGGCCAGCCTGGGCAAACAGTTCATGGGACCCCATCTCCAAAATAGCCAGAGCAAAATGGACTGGAGGTGTGGCTCAAGCAGCAGAGAGCCCGCTTTGCAAGTGTAAAGCTCTAAATTCAAACCCCAGTCCCACAGAAAGAAAAAAAAAAAAAAAGAATTGTTGAGCTAGGGATAGGGCCTGGTATACATGAGGCTGAGTTCAATCCACAGTACAATTAAAAGAAAAAAAAAGACAGGATATTCACTTCTCAAAACATTTCCTTCTCTCATCAAGTAAGTGATTACAAATGTGAAAAGGAAAAATACGGTACCTGGTCATTCACTACTTATATATAACTTGTTTTAATCCATGCCTCATGATCTATAAGTTGAAACAGTATCTGTGGACAGTTAAAAAAGTGTGTAAAATGACTGAAAGATGAAGTCTTTAAAGCCAGATAGCCCACAGTTTAAATCTTGCTCTGGCTGAGGCGAGTTGTTAATATCTCAGAATTGTATCAACTTACCTATAAGATGGGTGTGCTGCATCTTCAGCTGTGAATGAGACTGTCATTAACAATTGGTATGTACTAGTAGAGATATACATTAGACGTCATTCAGTTGACATGTGAGTCTAACTAGCAATGGAAGATTCATAGCAAGTAAATAAGAAAGTCAGTTATTTACAGTGAAATGCTACTCTATCTAGTTCCGAAATGGGAGAGCAAAGCAATAGAAAGCATTTCTTTTTGAAAAGTGGAAATTTAAAAGGCCAAGGAAAATTTTTTATAAGTTTTAAGTAACTGAAAACATTCAAAACAGTATCATATTAAATATGTAATCCCATGATACCTCATGTTCTCAGAGGCAGTAGAAAAACAACAAAAAAACAAAACAGAAGTTTTATAACAACAATAAGCACTGAAGATAAAGAGAGAAGCATCAGAATTTCTGAAATTAAAAAAAAAATGTGTATTTGAAAACTTTGTCCTTTTTAAACATAAAAGCTATTTACAATTTGTCCTGCTCCAGTAAGTTCATAAACTTCGTAGCTCTGTGAACTCTGCAAGCACAGCCCTCTTGGAATGGGTTTAAGAATAGTCTTTTAAATCCTCAAATGGGAAATATTTCATGCCCTAGATTTACAGATTGATGTTAACTATTTTCTGAACAAATAACTTGGCTTTCCAAACTAAAACCTTGACCAAAGGGTAGACAGTTTTCAGATAAAATTAGCCTATATCATCAAGACATGGAGTCTCTGGTTTAAAAAAAATCACTTTTTTAATTAATAGAAAAGAAAGCAAACATTACTTCCCTCTCAAAACAAAACAAAAAACCAGGCATGACCCAATTGCAATAAATATAGGCTATTTACATTTCTGTGTCATAATAAAAAGCAGTTAAAATTCAACTTTAACAAAAGACATTTTCATAGTCCAATTCAAAATTAAAGTCATCTTGTTCCCTAGACCCTGTGGCCTGCCTCGATGGTGCAGTTTTAAATGTAACCAGATTCATTGCATTCTTGCTATAGCACACAGAAAGACAAGTACACTTATTTTATACTGATGACTTAGCTTGTTTCTGAGGATTTTAATGGTTAGTTAGTTGACAGTTTCTGTCAAATAATGGTAATAACTGACATTTACTGAGTGTTTTCTCTATGCCACACATGTTCCAAATACCTCACATGCATTAGTTTATTAGATCATCAACACTATAAACACTATACAGCAATGCTATAAAAACAGGTATTACTAGCCTCACTTTAGAGATGATATAGAACAGAGGGATAACTGATTTGTCCAAGATTACAAAATAAGAAGCTAAGATATGATATGAAAGTAGGAGAACTGACTCTAGAATTCAGACTTTCAACCTCTATTTTTCTGTTTTCTCAAATATACATGAGAAATTCTACCACATGAAACTATCATATTTGGCATACAGGGTCAACATTTATATGGTAACTCCATCTAATAAGAGTTAGATTATTTATTTATTTATTTATTTATTTATTTTTGCAGGGACAAGGCAGAACTCAAGATTTTTTCAGTTAGAGTTACTTTATTTCATATTGAGGTATAGAATACTAGGATCTCAACCAGTACTTATATAAATCCTTGAGAAAACTGCCTGATCTCTTTTCTGAGGAAGGTATCAGACCTAGGCTTGTGCC